CCGTATCTAGCACACAGAACCCCAGAGCCCATTGTCCCAGGGCTGGTGTGAGTGTGGCTGTCTCAGCCACCTCCCACTGATCTCCTGTAGCCACCCTCATTGTTCCCTTAGAGCGCTCCACTCCGTGGCCCCTCACTGGCCTCATGTGAAGGGGAAACACTCCCTTCCCTCTTCTACCTCTTCTTGGGGTACGTGGGACATGCACTTGCTCGCTCCCCTGCAGAGAATCCCCTCCTCAACCCTCCTCCACCTCAGCCCTCATCACCTCCAAACATCTGCCTTCTTTGTCCTTCAGTCCTGGAGGCCACAGGAAGCTTCTCATGTGACAAGCTGTTACAGTTGCCAGGTGTTCACAAAACACGCTGTAAGGCGGGTGGCCCAATCCTCCCTTGCAGAGGGCTACTGCAATGTGAAAGCCCTTTAAAATTTGCTTTAACAATCATGTCAACATTGCATTCTAGTCTAAACTATGATTGCTTTAAAACAAATGTGTTTTTTTTTTTTGTCTGGTTTCTGAGTAAAATCAATGGTCCAGGAAGAAGCAATGTTTACCCTCTGGCTTCACATCACTTTGAGGGTAAGAGCTGAGGCTGCAAGCAAACTCCAGATCCATAGGGACAAGTCCAAAACCACCATCACAACCTAGAATAGTAAGAAGAACTGGAGCAAAGGTAGCTTAGAAGCAAGCACAGTGGACATGAAGCCAGGCAAGGTTCCTACAAGATGCATTCCACACTTGGCTGTCCTAGAGGATAAGCTTTTACCTCCCTTAAGAAGGTTTGCTGTGTCCTAACTTCAGTTGGAAATTTTGCTTATGTATAAAACAGACAGGGAAAGATAGACATCTTGTGGGCATATGGTAGCATTACATTACAGGCCTGGAAATGAACATACAGTAACTTAATCGATAATACCGTGTTTCCCCGAAAATAAGACCTGCCCATAAAATAAGCCCTAGCAGGATTTCTAAGCATTTGCACGATAGAAGCCCTACCCCGAAAATAAGACCTAGTGATGGACGTGGCTACGCAGCGCATCTGCACAACCCATGCATTTCCTTGCGGAGTGGTAAAGAAGATGAGCAGCCCTTCTCATCTGCCCCATGAGAGCTCTAGTGCTTGACATGAGAGACTGGGGCCAGTGGTTCTCAAGGAAATAGAGTCGCGAGAAATTCAGGATGGAATTCGGGGTTTGGAGAGTTAGGATGATGTTCCAGAAGAAGACGACTTAACTATATTTGAATACATGTAGATTGTTGTACTGTACTTAAAAAAAATAACACATCCCCTGAAAATAAGCCCTTGGGTGTCTTCTTGAGGAAAAATAAGTATAAGACCCTGTCTTATTTTCGGGGAAACACGCTATCACTGAATTACAAACTGTTAGAGTCACAAACTACTCCACAAAATGTCTCTTAGGTTTTTAGAAGAAAGAATCTATAGTTCATTTTTCTTAGGGGTAAATGCATCAAATGAAGGAATAGCTCTTTTCATAAAGCAACCTACAAGAACTTCCAAAGAACAAATAGCTTTCCAATTTGAGTTCTCTTTGGATTACAGACCAAATCTATTAGCCATTTCGGTGGAATCATATGTTAATAAATTAAATCGTCAGTTACCTCTGAAGTACATTGTATTTCAAAGCCTTAGTTTTAAGACCTTACCAAGTATCTGGAAGGTAATGAGGATTTGGGCAAGAACTGAGACCTTTTTGGTTGGATCCTCTAAACAGCTGACTAGACTGAAAAAGTACAGGGAATCTCAGGACCAGAGGCTGGAATGCAGACATTCCTTCCAGTCATAAGGCACTCAAGCAGAAAAACAGGTTTTTCTTGAAGTTTGATAAGAAAAGTCCTCTGTTAAAAAGTTAAAAAAACAAAACCTTTTCTTCCTGTGAGTAGGCTGAAAATAACATTTATCTATTTTCCAAAATTGATGCTGCCATCAATAAATGATTAACAAGTACTCTCTGTATAGAGAGTCCTATGGACTTGCAACTGTCCTTGTCACTTTTTCCTTCAACTATAATTAGTCGTCTGTAAGGAAACGCCAGCACAAACAGGTCACCCGCTTCAGAATTTAAAGGCAGATGTGCAGTTCCAAATCCATAGTTCATCACTTTTGCCGTCTAGACATTTGGTTGTCTGTTTCCATCACAGTGACAGAATAGATGTGGCCTATCATGTAAGAAAGAGGAAAAATGTAATTTTAAGCATTCTTCACTTAGTGGCCTACATCAATTTCCCTTATGACCTATAATCACACATGTTTTTGTACAGCCTGCATACTAAGAATGATTTTTACATTTTTAAAATGTTTTTAAAAAACCCAGAAAATGACAAATAGGTGGCCGACACCTGTGCCTGCAAAGCCTAAAATATTTACGATGGGGCCCTTTACAGAAAGTTTGCCGACCCCTGCATTACCCAAACAAGACTTGTTTTCTTTTAATGTCTTGAGAACTGGCTTTGAGAAAGGTAGAAGAAAAGCACTTTCATCTTTGAAGGCAAATACTTATTCTTTCTTACCCTCAATGAGTTGCAGCACATTTGCTCACTCTGACATTCACTTAGCTGCACCTACTGCAGCAGCGTTTTGCAGTGTTTAAAAGGAAGATTCATCTCTAAGACATAAAAATCACTATCATCCAAATCTAAATGTGGTGTTATTAAAAATTACTCAATGATAAGGGGCAGAAAAGGAAGTAGGTGTTACTTAGGGTTGCAGAAGTAAACATGGAACCTAAAATGGCAGGTAGGGTGTAGAGTTGAAAGAAAGGGCCTTCAGGTAAAGGGAAAACAGCAGTAAGCGTGGATAGGGAAGGAGGCAGGAGTGAGAATTCCAAGCTTCCCCAGCAGTGTTTTGTGGCTGTGGTTGGATGATGCAGAGGGAGAGAAAACGGGTGCCTCCCTCCACTAACGTACTTTGAAAAAAACATTCATTTAAGCAACCTTAAATAAAAGGGAAGGTATTGTGTAGCTAAATTTGCCTGGGATCTGAACCTGGAACTGGAAAGTCATCAAGATACATACAGGTCTCTCCCTTTCTCTAAAAGGTCACATGTTACCTTGTCTTCCAAAGGATATGAGGCTGTCCGGAAATTATCCAGACATTGTTAATATAACGAGAATGGTTTGGGCAACATTGATATAACCTGGCAGCCAAGGTGAGTGGGCTGTAATACACATGTTTGAACAATGACGACTTCACCGTACTAGTCAGTGGGGCACTAGATGCTGTTGAGTGAACATATGATCTGTGTGGCCGTAGCATTCAAAATGACTGAGTGGAACAACTAATCTGCTTCAAATTTTGCTTTAAGCTTGAATATTCCTCCACTGAAACTATTTGGGTGATTCAGAAGGCTTTTAGTGGGCAATGCAATGAGTGCAGTGCAAATAAAAGTATGGTATGAATGCTTCAAAGGTGGTCGAGAATGGGTTGAAAGGGATCCACGTTCTGGAAGGCCTGCAACAAGCAGAAGACCTGAGAATGCTGAACATGTACTGGTTAGGTTAAGAGATGCTGGGAGAACTGTGAGGTCCCAAGGTGCCTCCTTTGAAGAGGAAAGAGACGTCATTGACCTATGCACAATCTTTATTGTATCTTCTTCAATAAATGTGCCTGTTTTTCAAATTACATGCCTGGATACTTTCAGGACAGACCACATGCAGCTGCTGCCTACTGTGCCTCTGCTCACTTCACCTTTCTCTTTTAACCCCAGTCTTGCTTTTTGCCCACTCATCTCTGAGGAGAGCCCAGACTTCCATGTGGATGTGCTCTACCCAGGGCATGTCCTCAGTTAGGTACAGGGCTGTCTTGCTTGGGTGTCAATAGCAGAAAACCTGTCAGAAATCTAGCTGTGGGTGGTGGCTAGAAAGTGTAAGCAAGGGTACGGGGGTGAAATCTGAAGAAACCCCAGGGGAAAATACAAATTGCTTTTTGGGAAAGGTTTTCAGTTGCAGTTTCCATACTTAGGAGTTGGGAAGAAGCTGGTAAGGCCTGGACATTAACGTATCACATGTAATGCTCGCGTTGAACTCTAAGAAATTTGGACTTTATAAATCAGACGAAGGGAAGGAAGCCACAAGAGGCTTCCAAGCAAGGTACTGAGGGCAACTGGCTGTGATTGTGAAAAAGATGATTCTAGTGAGGTGAACACGGTGACTGGAGATGGGAAACACTGCGGTTCAGGCGAGAGATCAGGGCCTGAATTTACCCAGTAACTGCGGTCAGGGCGAGGATTCTTTTCTTTTTTCCCCTTGTTCCCTCACTCCCAAGAGGTATCAACACAGGACTCGTAGTGGCCGGATAATGACCAAGTGGGTGTGCGGGATGGCCAAGGATTCGGCCAGGCTCGGTGCTCGGCACCCGGCGAGTGGCGGCGCCCACAGCTGGGGCCTGGGAACCCGCCGCTCGGTCTTCAGGGGCCGCCGCAGCGATGAGTGCGGAAACACGACCGAAGAGAGAGAGGCCGAAAACAAGAGACCCAACGCAGAAGCGGAGCGGCCGCCGGCAGCGAAGGCCGTTAACAGGCGCTGAGGCGCACGGAACACCGCCGGAGAAACCGTTCGCCCTCTGCCCGCCGCGCGGCGCAACGGGAACTGTAGCTCCTCCTTCTCCTGCTCCCGGACCCCGGACGGGCTCCAGGACAACACCTCTCCCTCTGGTTATAAATCGCGCACTTTCGCGTCCGGGACGCGGGGTCCTTCCACTCAAGCAGGCTCCTAGAGATGACGTCATCAGCGGGTCACCTGCCCCCATAGCTGAAGCGTTCTGGTGGCTGTAGAAAGCCTGTCATATAGCAAGCTGATAATAAAGGATAGGCTCCTAGCAATGGGAGGACTACGCTTACGATGCCTCTTTACCCCTGGGCTTTTCCTTCGCAGAGGTCTTCTCCGCCGCTGCGGCAGTGCCTATTTTGTTCAGGCAGCGCCTTAGGCAGCCCCCCACCGCGACGAGGGGCGGGGCGAGTCAGGGCGGGGCGGGGTCCTGGCTGAACTGCGTCGCGCTCGGGGGCCGCGCCGGGTAGCCTTCTCTTTAGTGCCTGAGGCAGCTCTGGCTCGGAGAGCCTTTTGCCAGATCCACGGGGACCTCTGTGCACGGATGGACCCGCCCGGACCCGGCGGGAAGCGGCCTGGCAGGCGGCGGCCCCGGCAGTATCAGCAGAGAGAGGACAGGGCCGAAGCCGCGGGTCCCTGAGGCGCGCGTGCCCACCGGGCCCGGCGGCGGCACCACCATGATGCCGGGCGAGACACACTCGGCGGCGCCCGGGACGGCAGCAGACCTCTCGCGGTGTCAGGGCTGTGTCTCCTTGCAGCAGGTGTGGCATCTCCCGGGGGTCGTGGGCGCCAGGGGCGACTGGGCCCGGCAGGCCGAGGGTGTGGGCCGCGCCTTAGCGCGCTGCTCCCGTTTCACAACAGAAGCGCCCCGTCGCCCCCTTCTCGTTCCCTTTTCTCGTATTGTTCTCCTGTCTTGTTTTGGGGACAGATTCCTTTGCTTTGTTTAGGCCTGGAACCCCGAATTCATTTACTGGCATGTGATGGTGGTGGGGGGCGGAGGGAGGGAGTTCTGGAGGGCCCCCTCTTTCCCTATCCAGCCTAGGGCTGACTTTTCGGTTAGTAAGATAGGCGAAATGCTGACGGTGGTTACCACTCCGAGGATAAGGCTTCGATCGTCTGGCTGATCTTAAGTATTTGTTACTTGGAGGCAGAATCTTATGTGGCATGTCTGGGTCTTTTTTCGGGGAAGCATTTCGACTCATATCTGATGAGCTCTCCCGAGGCTAATTTTTTAAGTATAATAAGTTATGTAATTAGTTAAGTCAAGCAACATCTCAGTTGTTTGATTAAACTAATGAATTAAAGGCATGTAGAGACTGGAAGCTTCTAACAGCAGCATAGATTATTCTGTACAGTGACAGGAGAGTTGCTAGAGTCTAGCTTTAGGTCTTATGGGATGTTATTTGGGGAATAGTCCCTCTCGTTTCCAGCGACTCTCTTAGCTCTTTGATGTGGGGAGTCTCATTTAACTCCTTACTGTCACTGTCTTCAGTGATAAATGGAACTCACCATCGCCATAGCTACCTCATGTAGTGTTCTAGGCACTGTAGACATTGTGGTGAACAAAATAGATGAGCTCTGCTTTCATAAGTAAGATGTGTGTGTGTAAATAAGACTTTAGAAATTTTAAGTGTTAGGAAGAAAATAAAGTAGGATGTTGGAATAGTGGTCTTGTCTCTTGGGTGGAGTGGTCAAGTAGGGTGTTTTTGAGGTGGTGACATTCAGAGGGGAATTAAAAGGTGTAAAGTTTCCTGAGGTGAGAAGAAGGCTGTCTTTGAGCAGAACACAGTGTTGTTGGCATGAGTGTAGTGCAGAGGGAAGATGGTTAGTAAGATGAGACTAGAAGGGAGTGCAGGCTAGGTAGGCCATGCGGAAAAGCTTAGTTTTTATTTTAAGAATATTATCAATGAACTGATTCCAAACACTTTAAGTATCGGAAGCAGGGGAGGGAGGAAGGAAATGCGCTGCCACTCTGGGTAGAAGGGGGACTGATAGTAAAATCATTGTCTTTATTGAGCTGCATTGTGTAGGTGTCTTATAATGTGCCGCTTCCCCCCAAAAAATCCAGGAACATGAGTGGAATTCAAATCTTTAATAAATTGTATTTATTCTTTGAGCCAGTTAGTTCACTGAACAAATGTTTATTGATCATCTGCTGCCTTTTAGGCATTGCAATAACTGTGATGGGGTCAAAAAGACAAAAATTCTTGCTCTCTTGGAGATTCCATTCTAGGATGGTAGCTGGATGAATAAAACAAGGAAGTTATGTTAAAAGGTAATAAATACATTGGTGATAAATTTGAGCACGGATGGGGAACGAAAGAATGTGTGAGGAATGGGCCAGTGACTGTTGGAATTTAGATAGGGAGTCTTGGAACAGTTATATTTGAGCAAAGGTGAGAGAATGAGCTCTGCTGATACCTTGGGAGAAAAGCATCTCATACAGTGGAAACATCAGATGTGGAGAACTGAGGCAGGAGCTGGCTTGGTGTGCTTGGGAAGAGCAAGAAGTCCAGTGAGGCTGGATTGGAGTGAATGTTGGGCGTTGGATGAGGTCAGAAAGGTAAAAGCAGGGTCTGATTGTGTGGCCTGTGCAGACGAATGTAAGGGATTGGGCTTCTCGGATTCACATGGGATGTCATTGGAGGCTTTTGTGCAGGAGAACTACTGATGTGAATTATGCTTCTGAATCATAGATCTGATCTTCCATCAAAAACCTGGTCTACTCCAATTTGAAAGTAGCAACTGTAGCTTTCTGGTTGCTTAGGCTAGAAACTAGATGTTATCCTTGGTGCTGCTTTTTTCTCTCACAGCCTATCAATCTGTCAGCTGGTTCTGATGGTTCTACCTTGATTGTCCACTTGCTGTTCATCATCTTCACTGCTTCCACCCTGGAGTGAACTGCTCTACTCTATGGCCTAGAAATTACTACATTAGCTTCCTAAAGACTCTGCTTCCTTCTACCCTGTATTTATTGGTTCCCACTGTTGGTTCTCAAAACAGCAATAGTGGTAATCCTGTTAAATCTCTAGATCCAGAGATATGCAAACTTTTGCTGTAAGGGGCAAGATCATAAACATTTAGGCTTTGGGGACTTGTTCACAATTATTCAACTCTGCCACTTTAGTGTAAACACAGCCATGGATGATCTGCAAAAGAATGAATGCAGCCGTGTTTCAGTGATACTTTATTTACAAAAACTGGAGGAGTGCCTTAGTTTGCAGAACTCCTCTGCGGGTTAGGACACTCCATTGCATTTGGCTTTTCTGTGGCTTAGAATTGGAATGTCTTTAGGGGAAAAAGTTGGTCAGTTGTGAGTGAAGTCTCTGGAGCAATTCCGTTATTTTACAAAGTGAGGCTGGAAAAATACATTCCTGGTGATTTATAGAGTCTTGAATAGTAACCATTCACAAAGTCTTATACGTATTTCTGTCAGTAGTACAGTATGGTGAAGGTCTTTGTATGGCTGCCATATGAAGAGCAGTGCTTGTAGTAAATGGAGCAGTTGGTGGTATGCAGGATGGAATTAGAGGGAGTGCAAGTAGATACAGTAAATTATTTTACAGTACATACTAGTTATAAAAAAGTCTGAACTAATTGGGGCTTCCTGGAAATGGAATAGAGAAGGGAAAGGTTCTGAATGTGAGAAACTGCCAAGCTTGGACGAATCTCATGTCAGGGAAGTGAAAGATCCAGAGATTTAAAACTTGAATGATCATGAGAACTATGGTAGATGTAGGAGGAGGAAACCAAGGTGGAGGGGATGTTTGAAATGTGGGACTGAAGTTTTTGAATGACACCAGAACTAGGTGTTTTCAACCATTTTCAGATTTATTGTTTGTGAAGCACAGTGCCTCCAAGGTACTGTAATACACATCCAAGGTAATAGAGGAGGCCAGGTTAGATAGACACTGTATTCATTGTAAGAATTCTGTTTGGGGGAAGGGAGATGTGGATAGGAGATTGGGAGGAGTATGTGAAAACCCCTGTGCCAGTTCATGGTTCTATGTGCCATCACTAGAGTCAGTGAAGAAAAACCAGCTGGCTGGTGAGTGGCCTTCGATGAAGGTGAGCATGGAATGGTGAGAAAAGGATAAAGAGTGTTAGAGAGTTAAACAGGACTGTGTTGTAGAGGGAAGCAAGATAAGCAAGATTGGAAAGAATGAGAATTGAGGAAAAGCATTCCATTGGTCAATTAGTAGATGGATAATCACCTCTAGGAAATAATTTTCTGGGTATATTATAACCACAGCAAGTACCGTGCTTTGATTAAACTTTTGCATGAGAGAGAAGCTAAAGAGGTTAGATACCAAGAGAAATTCTTGCTCTGTAGTGTTTTGGGTTTTTTGGTTTTTCTTTTTGAGACAGAATCTCTTTTTCCTGGGCTAGAATGCAGTGGCACAGTTGGCTCACTGCAACCTCAAACTCCTGTGCTCAAGCAGTCTTCCTGCTTCAGCCTCCTGGGTAGGTGGGACTATAGGCACATGCCACCACTCCTGGCTAATTTTTTTTTTTTTTTTTTTTTTTTAGTTTTTGTAGAGCTATGGTCTTGCTATGTTGTTTAGTCTGGAATCCTGGCCTCAAGTGATCCTCCAGGCTTGGCCTCCCAGGGTGCTAGGTGTACAGGTGTGAGTCACCACATCTGCCCTGCTTTATAGTTTTATCACAGTGAAACTTCTTGATCTTGCATAAAATTTACAGGTAGTGTATGAGCCTTTTCAACAGGAGACAGCATTAAGAGGTGCTGTGACTTTATTCTGAATTGCATTGTTTGACCGACTAGCCTCTGTCCTGAGTTGAACAGTGGTTTGCTTTCACTGAAAGTTTTCGTTTCATGTCTTACTCCTCCATCCCCTTTGTTCTTTAATAGAAGAGGTAGAGTACTAAGATCATTACTTGATATAGAAGTGCATAGAATGACTGCATTTTATGCTTTTTTTCGTAATCTCACAAATCACCTCTTCTCTGTTTCCTCACCCTTATTGATGACAGTGTTTCATCACTGAGCTGTAGTACAGTGTCCATGTGGGTTGCAGAGCTTTGGTAGTCATATAAACCAGTGTGGGGCCTTACTCTGGTGATGTTATATACAATTAAGAAAATCTTAAGTTGCATTTTTTTTTATTTCAATGGAAATATTACTTTATTTCTTCCTTCTGCTAGGCACTTCTACACATCATTTACTACATTATTCAAAGTTTTTTAAAATTGATTCATTTTTTTAAAAAATTTCAGAATATTAAGGGGACACAAATGTTTTGGTTACATATATTGCTTTTGTACAGTTTATGTCAATGTTATAAGTGTGTCCATCACCCAAATAGTGTGCATTATACCCATTAGGTGTGAATTTACCCAACCTCTTCTCCCCCCTCACCTACTTGATTTCTGTTGAGTTTTACTTCCATATGTGCATATAAGTGTTGATCGATTAGTTCTAGTTTAATAGTGAGTACTTGTGGTAAAGTTGCATGGTTTTAAGTCAAGCTAGTCATGCTGACTGACGTAAGTCACTTTATTCTAGAGAAGGAGAGGCCCCTTTTTGCCTAGCTTCACTGCAGGGAAAACAACTGGACTCTCTTGGGGATCCAGATGAGAGTTTGAAACACATGGTCATGCTCTGCAACTAATGTAACTAGATTAGATTCTGTCAGTTTGGTGTTTGGCTGTCTTTGGCACAGATTTGAACCTACTATTTACATAAACTTGTGCTGGATTCCCATTCATAATTGCCAGCAGTTTAAACTTCATCTTTGTGAAA